CCTGGAAGAGGATGTACGCAACAAATATCGCTTACTCGCGCACTCGCGAGTTCTAAACGTACTGGTAGGTATCAGTTCAGGTCAAGGTCCGGAGAGGCCCATTTACTCCGATCACAGAACGTATGTTAGGTGGTCCTTTATTTAGGTCAAAGAACTTAATCTCTTTACCTGGGATAGGATCATATGAGAGTGAGTGGCTAGAGAGTAAGGGTTTTATAGGGAAGATTTGGGGGGTGACTGATGACGATCACCAATGAGGCGAGTTTTCGCGCAAAACGGGAAACGGATGTGGAAGATTAGAAAACAAATAAGATCACGGATGCGTTGAGAAACCCATGACGCATTTGGGTAGCGTATAATAATTACTTCCTCTTTATGATAGCGCTTATCCAAATCCGTCTATTTCCTGATCATAAAAAGAAATTTGTTGCTCCCACGGCATCCAGGATGCAATGAAACTATGCGCCTTACGTAAAGGCGGATGAGATGACAGATACATTGGGAAACCCACGGCGAGTCATACGGCGAGTCATCGTAATCCTATCCCTTTTACGATAACGCTTCTCCGACGTCCGTCTGCCTCCCAATTATATATAAAAAAAAGACATCCGTACCTCCCGAGGTACCCAGGACGTAACAGAGGTATCGAAAAATGAATACCTTGTGCGATACTTGGCCGGCCGTAAAAAGTAACGTGGGTCACTGGTTGGCCCATCTTACTTTAGAAAAATAAAAGATCGAGGAAAGAGGAAGAATGATCGCAAAGAACGATCGACGAGATCGAGGAGGTGATTCTCGATCGCTTACGGAATATTATTCAACGGCAGAAAACGGTACGTGTGACCCAAGTGTGTGACGCAAATGTGTGTCAAACGAAAGCCGACGTCACATCGTGACCTGCCTCGTTTGGCCAATAACGATCCCCCCCTTCACCCGGGACGATGTGCACTCTGCAATTCGTAAATTCGCAATTTGCAGATTGTTCGCGCAGTACTATTGGCCGGTTCGAGCGATATGGTCCGATGTGCGTCGCGCACTCCCTCATAAATCGCTCATTGTCCCTCGAGGCGTTATCACGATTGAATAATATTGCACTTTGCGTTTCGCTTAAGAACTTCAATCGGGATACAAAAATATGCCCGGGTCTCGGTGTTGGCATGATGCCGGCGATATCGCGCGCGATAAACGTGCGGATTGTTTTCATCTCCTTTATTACAAAAAAACATCAATATTGCTTACGCGTGATTACGAATTTATTTTTATCGCCACAATCAACGACGAATGACCCTGATGGTGATGCGAGAGAGAGAGAGAGAGAGAGAGAGAGAGAGAGAGAGGCGAAAATTGCCGATGAAACGGTAAATTGCACAATAAGTATCCGCGACTGATAACGACGCAATAATCCGTCACTCGATTCGCGAGGGAAATGAAGATGCGAGAGAATGCAATAATGATTGCGAAATCTCGACGTGAATGCGATCGTGCTTGACCGAGGAGTCGCGTTGATTATCGCCGAATATTGTGCAAATTGAGTAAATTATTAAATTATTAAATTATTTCAAATTTTGTCCACCATATCGTCGAGTTTGCCGTGTGTATTTCAGTTACTTCATCTTCTTCGTCTCGCTATTGTCTTACTCTACCTCTAGTTTAATCTGGTTCTTTCCGGATTGATTTGTACGGTTCTCAATTGTACACAGTCGCACCAAGGTTTAATGTTGTTGCTTCATTGTATCATAATGAGAAAGCTAGTTGGATGAGAGTAACTACATTTGCTTCTCCAAATTATTATTTTTTATTACACTGATCAACAAATATATAATAATATATCAAAAATTGTATTTTTTCTGGATTTTAATTTTTTCTACCTATGTTTATGCGTTGAGAAGAAAACGATAATAAAGAGACCTATAGCTCAAGAAATATAGACTATATTTTAATGTTTTCAAATTAATAGTATAAGAGAAAGACAGGAACATAAAACAATAGAAAATATTTTTACTATAATTTCCTATTTTTATGTTCCGTACTATAACAAAAATTAAAATTTCCTCTAAATGTTCATATTGTTAGGCGTCTTCTAACGGTTTTGAAATAAAGAATGTTACAACGAAAGAACTAAAATAGTCTCTATTTTCCCATAGAAAATCGAAACACATGTCATTCATAAACTCTTACAGGATCACCATACACGCCACTCATATCTCACTACTGAAACTAACCATTTTCATTTTAACACTTAAAAACAGTAAAATATTTTTATAACAGTTCTCTCACACACAGCTTATTAAATTCTCATTTTATAGCATTACTGAACTCGTGCTTGACTAATTACAGCCTTATTCTCTTTAATTTTGTAATTCTGTCTTTTTTTTATTGATTTAATAAATTGTCACGTATTGTTGCGGAGTTATCTCGGCCGTTGTACAATTCGTGATAATTTATTTAATCAAATAAGCTGTTGTACAGCTTACACAAGCGAAAGCCGTTCACCATAAGCGGGCATATCGCTGAAAACGCATTGACCGTGATCGCGATATCGACATAATTGGCCCGCTTATTAACAAGAGAGAGAGAGAGAGAGAGGGGGGGGGGGCGTTCACTTGAAATTCGGCAAATGACGCTTGTTGACTTTGCGCCTGCGATGGGAGATTTGTAATCGGGCGAACGTGACTTACACGTGATTATATTTGCTAACGGCGATATCGCGTCAACTATTAGCGCGGGTATCACAAGTCATTCGATCCGGTCGATAGCGCGTATCACGTGTCGCCTACCGCCGTCGTCCACGTGCTGCGCGCACGTTTCGAAGGCCTTTCCTATAGCTGCTGATATTTACCCGTCGGCTTCATTGAGCATTAACCAAACCCCGTTTATAAATCATCTATAAATATGCTAATCGAACGAGCAACTGTTTTCTTTGTTTTTTTTACGGAATTGGCTGAGAACCGAGAATCTCGTGGGAAACATCTCGCGGAAGATCTTTCGAGATTCTCTGATTGGAGGGGCAACGCGTAATGTCGTAGAGAAGACTACCGCGATGAATAAAAACAACTTTGTACGCGGGAAAAAGAACTCAGTTGCTGCAACCGAATAGGGACCAGATGAAAACTCGGTGACGAGAAATGAAACTCGGTGACAAGAAATGCTGGCTTTCTCTATTAAAGAATATATTAGTAAGATTCTCGCGGAATACACAATTCTTGAGTAATCGGGAGAGGCCAATAACCGTTAGCGCTGGTAATTAATTAATTGGAAAATTAAAAAATTATTTGGCTTATAATTTCGATGAATCTAACGTTTAAGCGTTTTAATCAGTAGTTTTCACTGAAGAGGGCCGAAACCTTTGGACATTAGATTCATCGACAATGTAGGTCAACTAATTTGTTAATTTCGCAACTAACAATCAGTACCAGCTTTTATTGGCCACCTGCAGTTAATCAAAAACTTAGCATTTCTGTTACCGTGACTGAGGATATTCGTGTGAACGTTCAACTGCATCGAAACTCGATTGAGACAACTGAAAGTGATGGGTAGAATATAAACCTCTTACAGGAGTAACTCTCTCTGTTTCTGTAGCCGAATTTTCGTTTGGTCTTCAGGAAAATTCAATGACATCAACGGAATTTTTTTATCTGCACAGAGCAAAAGATTTTTTCGATAAGTGATATCTTGAATATCTTCGAAATATAAGAGTAAGAGGAAACTTTGTATAAGATACGGAAATCACAATGGTTTATCGCTTCGAACATATCCGCAGGATATCGAGGATATCCCAGGTGATAATAATCATTGACTCATCTTGTGTATTTAGCTAATCTCCGAAGGTATATTTTAAATAATTTCTATTCATTTCTAATCTTTAAAAGCTTATCATCAAACACTTAATACTTTACCGAATAACCAAATCATCAAAATATCGAGCGGCTCGAGAATGTCGTGTGACGTCGTCACGTGTGTCGTCCGTGACTTACATGGCGACAAGTCATATGAAATCGTGAATGAAATATGCTCGAAAAAAAAGGATCAAAGTTCACTTGATTCGTTAAAGATGATACTCTCGTCAACCCCGCGCAATCGCGACGATCCACGTAGCAACGAACGCGTAGTAAATTGAAGTAAATTGTAAGTAAATTGAAATTTGTCCGATCATCCAGTACTGTTTGATTATTCTGTTCCCAATCACAAACGACTGACAAAGTACAGAGATGTATCGGTGATCTATTTTGTCAAACCTTGTTTCCAACTCACCAGTGTCTCGCTTGTATGCGCAAGGTCGCTATTCTTCGCGCGACACTAAAAATAGCGACGCTAAGAACACTATGAACAGTTCTCGTCCACGTTCGCCTAGTCCTAAACAAATTTGAGTCAAACTTTTCGTATGAATAATTTATAAAAATAATATTCCAACGGCTTTTTCCAAAGCCGCAAATATTTTTAAAACATTGAAACAATTCGTATAAAAAGTTATATTTTGTCGTTTAAGCGTATCGCTTTATTTATAGTCGTTCTTTCAGTGGCATCGGTGAAGAAATTTTTACCTATCAAATAAGTTTCATTCAAAATAACGGTAAACGTAATCGTTAAGTTTTTAATTTTAATTTAAAATATTGATCATTGACAAAGTTATTACTCGAAATGTAAAGGCCTCCTTTATTGGTAATGTATTCTGAACGTTGAATTGCAACGTCTACAAGACATTAGACGTATATCTGCAAAGTCTTTTCAATTCGAATCTACATTTCGCAAAATCGCTGCAACATTGCAATGCTACAAGTATAACGTTTTTAAGATGTTGATTCAACGTGTGTTGTACGGGGAAGTGTGTCGTCTTGACAGAAACTTCGAAATATTTTAAGTATGCGAAATCAAAGTCGGTTTTCGTATTATATAATCATATTGTATCCACAATAAACCCCGTCAACGAGTCTAGGCAAATGACGAAATGGCGTACATAAAGAGCGTGAGAAGTGGGGTGTCGAACGAGGAGGGAGATACAATTGGTCAGGCACGCGTGCGCATTTTCCTACCTTTTATCCCCGCCGACTTACTCTGCTGTATATATGACGTCACTAGTATAGGTTGCGGCACTCTGCTTTCGGCTGCACTCGCAGTGATCGAGGAATCGTGACGTTGTCCAGAAATTCAGGTACGACTGAGAAAAACGGATATCGCGCTAAGTTCTCCTTCTCTCTCTCTCTCTCTCCCTCTTTCTCTTTTCCTCTACCTTTTTTTATTCATTTATCATCGTCTCGATTCCACAGTAGAACTGAAAAGTCAATTGAACCGTACGGAACTTGAGGGGCGCGGATTCGCTCGTAAATTGCATTTTTCTTTTACGACGACGTATCGCCCGTGTTGTGTTGTAAAATCGTTCCGTCGATCTCCAGAAAGTTTCCTTTATTTTCGACAAAGAACGGGCCTTCGAAGATAGGTATTTCGCGACTAACGCGTTGCGTGGCGTGAGACGATGAGACTTCTCGCGGTATCGCGCGCGCGCGCGCATAGCTTCGAATTTTTTTCGCCCGCGATCGAGCACGAGGAGTCCGAGTGGCATTTATGACCGCGTTATCGGTACGCTTCTACGGCATACGAATTTATCATAGTTCAGAAGCACTCACGGGTCAGCTCTCTCGTGCGAGCGCAATCGGACGACGCTGTATCGGACGATGGACTATATAATAGCTCCGTAAGATAAACCGCGTTAATTAGTTAACGGCGATAGAAAGCGGGAAGTCGTTTGCGTCGTCAGCGTGGATTGTCACGTGACGCCGATTACAAATATGCAATATACCCTATAACTGCGTGACACCGCGAATAACCGGCCTCTTCGCGATCCTACGTGCGACTGTTAAAAATAAATTCGTAGCGACCGCAACGTGTCCAACTCAAGGTTTATTCCGTGGCGCGAATGAAGAGCGATTAGTTACACGTGTACATATATACGGAAGCACGCGTGATAGTCACGTATGCTCGTCACATGAACGGTACAATCGTCCACCGAACAATTTTTTGCCACGGAATTTAAGATAAAGGGAACACATCGTTTAATGTTTCTTATCCTCGTCGTATAGTTGTACGATCACTCCTCCACGCGTTTAACGCATTCCAAATGTTCTTTACTCCTATCGTATCTGTATCAGTTAACTGATAAAAAGCTGACTTCTTTTTCTATAAATCTCGAAACGCATTCTGCGTCTAACAAGAGAATATTTTAGTCATTTAGTCTCAGGATATACATTTTCCTATTGGATATGAAATAAACGAGAAAGGTAGGAAAATGTTGAAATGAACGCATTTGGAGAAAAATTTGTCGAAAAGAATGCAGATTAATAGATATGATAAGCTTTTGATTAAGAAATTATTCAAGAAATAAATTGAGTATTCCCGCGGAGAACAGGACGCTACATTGAAAATATATAGAAAAAAGATGCTAAAACCGACATACTATTTTGTTTTTAGGCTCTAAAGTCTGAGGTTGAAAGTATAAAATTAAAATTTATACGCATGGAAGCGGACCAGCGACGCTTCTCTACCGGGATATGAATTTTATGAAAATTATGTATTAACATACGACCGAACATGAATTTGCAAGCTCGCTTGTCTGCGACGATAACTAAAGACTGATGTAATTTTCCATTTGCATGAAATTGACTTTACTTGCATATCGAAGAAACTGAAGGAGACTGTGACATGACCAGTGATGATAAGCGCTGCCATTATGCACTTATCTTTATCGCTTAGGTTGCTCTTAATTAGAGGAAGAATCGGCGCGAATCGATCTAATTGGCGCTACGGCGATCTATTGCTTTCAATAACAAATTTATCGACTTAGAAGAGATCGGATTACGATCGATCACGACCAGTAAACAATATTGCGACCGTTAACAATTGATACGATAAGCCGGATATCGGCAGAGGTCTCTGCGATGTTGTATAATTATTGTATCTCTCTCTCTCTCTCTCTCTCTCTTTCGCAGGCATAGTGATTTAATAAGTCATCCGTAGGATTCTCACCATGTCGGAATCCTTGGAGCAAATGTCGAAATCCGACACCATGAGGTTGCGCGAGCGTTACATCGGGTGAGTAACTTCCGAAGATAGAGAGAGAGAGAGAGAGAGAGCTCTATCAATCTGAGGAAAAGTAAATGACTCGATAATTGGTGACATTGTTCAAACTCCAGACAATCGTGCAAGCTGTTTTACAAATCGAGCCCGTTAAAAATCGTGAAGGCTGAGGGGCAATATATGTACGACGAGAAGGGTAATCGTTATCTAGACTGCATAAACAACGTCGCGCATGGTACGTATGCAATCAATCAATCACGGTAATCGGTGGGTACTGCGTTATCATCGTGATCGTTAATTCCGCGTTATCACGTGCGGCCGAATCTGAACGGTGTGAAATTTCGCGATTTCGGAGAACACGCGTGAGCGAGCTCTCCATCAAAGTAGAATTAAGCCGTGAAGACTATCGGCGGTCGGTATTACGATACCATTGTGTCTCATTAAGATTATTATAAAGTGCAAGTAAGATTACTAAGTATCAAATAATCAGATTATAAGTAATCCTTAGAAATCCGACCTGATCTGATCACAAAGAATCAGGTTACGAGATTGTAGGGTTATTAGATTACAAGATTATATTATCTCTTTCAGATTATGAAGTATAATCGATGGCATTTGAAAAATCGGCTGTACAGTCGACGTCATGCATGCTGTGTCATTACTTAGATCGGAAAAACTGCACGATTTTCAGTTTTATACATATACACATAGGATGAAAAATTTCGTTGAAGCAAAGAGTTTCGTTCTTATGAACCAAATGTGATTCTGAAATAATTAAAACGGAACCATTAAAAGAGAATTAATGGTTATCATGAACTAAATTTAATGGGATCAGAAGTCCTGTTTCTTTCGACGAAAACTTGGTTTGTTCATTGTCATCCTCACTGACTATTACAAATGGGAAGTTACTCCCGTTTTTTCTCCACTTGAAAACTTAATGCAAGACCAAATAGACTTAATGTAGAATCAAAATTTCGACTCGGGGTAGCTTGTACTTCTCTATAACCACGGCTAAATCATATTTTTCACCGTCACTTTCTGTTTCAATACACGTAAACGTAAATAGAAAAAATGAAAATTCAAAGTGGACACGATAACGATACGAAAATTCGTTGACCGGTCAGTCATCAGTCAGGCTTTTGTGCAATCGAGGAGGCCAACGTGCTAATTGCCGTTTCTTCCGCAGTCGGCCACTGCCATCCGGACGTCGTGCAAGCCGGACAGCAGCAAATGGCCCTGCTGGCCACGAACAGTCGTTTCCTGCACGACAATCTGGTGATATGCGCGAGCCGGTTGGCGTCGACGCTGCCGGAACCGCTGTCCGTCTGCTTCCTGGTGAATTCGGGCAGCGAGGCGAACGATCTCGCTCTCCGGCTGGCTCAAGCGCACACGAAGAACCGGGACGTCATCGCGCTCGATCAGTAAGTGTCCCTCCATTGTTCGGGCTGACTGCGACGTCCGTCGAACTGCGAAAGTATCGCACACACTTGAACGTCTCCCATCCGACGAGAGTCTCACATCCGCCACCACGATACGCTTCCATCAAAATTTCCCGGGACTAGCGGGATGAATGACGAAAAGACACACTTCCGTTGCACGTTTCTACTCGATCCTCCTCCACTTCTACTGCTGATACTACCGCTATTATACTACTTTTACTTCTTCTTTCTCCTCTTCTTCTTCTTCTTCTTCATCACCTGCTATTCGGCGCAAGTGAGAAACTTTGCCACGTCGCTCGAACACGTCGTTCTGGATGTTTCAGGCTGCGAACACGCATGAATGAGCAAAGCAACATTTATCCGTCGAACTAATCGAAACCGTACCGTCTGTTTTCTTGTTTGCAGCTTTGATTTTCCCCGAAGATGTAGACCGAAATCGTCGAGAGAGAGAGAGAGAGAGAGAGCGGGGGGAAATCGCGTCGATCGAGCGAGACGGAGCGTGCGGACGGATCGTGGCCGAACGGATCGATCGGATGGACATCCGATTGTCACACAGCGGGAATAGAATACAGCGGCATAAAGATCTTGTCGTTTTAGGTGTGCGCGACGCACGAGCGGTGTGCGGCGACGCGTCCCCAGGTGTCAGCCGACGAGCGAGTGCCGTCGTCGGAGGCGACGTCGAAGGGACAAGAGGCGAGACTGAGGCGAAAGTTCATTAGGTAATGTCAGTGGCTATAGATCGGTCAGAGGCGGCAGTTGGACTCGTTTACGGCTCTGCGCTTCGTAACCCACGGCGGGATCCATTGCGCTCGCACCTTCGGCAACGGCGGCGGAAGAACCGTGAAAGAAAAACAAAGAGAAATTGCGCTTTCAGGGAAGAGAGATGTCTGCTTTTCGCTAAATGAGATATAACTGAATCACTGAATCAAGCAGTCAGGTCGGTCAGGAAGTTCAGTTCAACCTCTCGCCTTCTCTACGGTGGAGGTATACACTGAGAGAAATGACAGTTACTTTTTTTCGGTCTCGGCTATGTTTTTCAACGGCAAAACAGTAATACACATGTGATGTTATTATTGCTGGCACTATACAGTGACACTCACTAGGAAACTGGTTCTTCTGATCTATCAATTGCTTTACCATGATGATTGTAAAGTTACAAATACCAAATATTCTTTTCTCAGTGTACGAACGACGCCGGAATGTTGGTGAAGAATCGCAGAGACGGCGATTACCGATGAACTATTCCTATCCACCGACAGAGCGAGATTCCGCTCGAAGATCGAAGATCGAACCTTTCGAGCGACTCGATATTAACTAACAATAATTCTCAGATGCCCCGGGGAAGTCTCGGAAGGCTACGTGCGCGATAGCTCGTAGAGTTTAAGTCTGTTTGAACGAAGGCGAGAGCGGTTTCTCTGACCGGTCGCCCCTTCTGCTTTTAGCGCTTATCATGGACACTTGACCACGACGATGGATATCTCGCCGTACAAGTTCAACCAGTCGAATGGTGCCAGCAAGAAGGACTGGGTGCACGTGGTTGAGTATCCCGAATGCATTTCTAGTAGAAACGAGATGATTGCGCGACGATGCGAAATGATTTCTTTTTATCGCGCGGGGCTCATTTATCGATCTGAGAAGGCCTGTCGATTCCGCGATAGCTGCGGAATCAATCACGCGATTTTTCGCGATCAAAAGTCGCGTTTGACGTTCAGTCGCGAGAATCCGGTACGATTTTAATATCGAGGCCGAGAGTGGCGATCGATTTCTATTCGCTGAGAAGTACATTTAGATTACGATTACGCGTAATTATCGTTCGCAATCATCTATTTTATATATTAGTAATGTTATCTCTGATTTTATTTATCGTCTATATTTTCTTATTTAATAACTGTACTTTTAATTTTCTTTATCATTTACATATATTTTCATTTTTCATATTTCATATTTAATAATTTTATCTTCAATTTTATTCATCGTCTATTTTCTCTCATTTAATAATTTTACTTTTAATTTTATTTATCATTTATATATTCATCTTTCATATTTCATATTTAATAATATATTTCTGATATTCTAGGCTCCGTGTCCGGATATCTACCGCGGCAAGTATCGCGCTACCGATTACGCGGACGAAGACTTCGGCGTGAGATATGCCAAGGACGTGGAAGAAATTTGCAAGGACATCAAGGCGGCAGGACGCGGGTTGTGCGCGTACATCGCGGAGAGCCTGATATCGGTCGGCGGGCAGATTATACCGCCGCAGAATTACTTCCGGAACGCGTTCAGGTGGGCGCAATTCGTTATCACGTGTGTAACGCGGTGAAAACACGCGGTGACCGTGAACGACGTTGATCCCGCAGACACGTACGCGAGGCCGGAGGCGTTTGCATCGCCGATGAGGTCCAGGTCGGTTTCGGCAGGGTCGGCACTCACATGTGGGCGTTTCAAATTTACGGCGACGACGTGATTCCGGACATAGTCACCATGGGCAAGCCGATGGGCAACGGTTATCCGGTCGCTGCTGTCGTCACCACGCCGGAAATTGCGAGCAGTTTCCGCGACACTGGCGTCGAATATTTCAATACGGTTAGTTCCCCCCAAAAGAAGAAAAGAATACTCTAAATTCCTAAGAGTGAAATTTCATTCAAGATAAATAAAAGACGGTGATATTTTCACTCGAAGCGATAGTGAAGATACTGCTAAGTGAAATTGCAAGAGTGAATGTTGTTACTCAAATTTAAGGTGGATTTTTCATCCACATAAGTGAAAGTTTCAGTCGATCGGAGTGAATATGTTCCTGCGACGGTGGAATGCGTCAGATTCACTTTTCAGTTTCGAGTGGAAATATCCATTCGATGATTTAAAGCGGAGAATTCTCTCTAAATGAATAAAACATTCCCGAATGAGTGAAAAACTCGAATTCAAGTGAATTTCGGCTCGGTAGTCGTTCTCGATCAAAACTTCACTCTAAGTGCGGTATTCACAGTCAGATCTTATATTTAAGATCGTCTTAAATTCATCTTCAGATACTGAGATATGTAACCCGGGAAATGTAAAGAATACGACGTGTCCTCAGAAACGCGATCTCCCGAGAATATGAACAATAACGAACGTTGTTCCCGCACTATTCCAGTATGGCGGCAATCCTGTATCCTGCGCGGTGGCAAACGCGGTGATGGAGGTGATCGAACGCGACAATCTTCTGGATAACGCGTTGAAGGTCGGTGGTCATCTGATCGCCGAAATGAAGAAACTGGCGGAACGGCGGAAGATCATCGGCGACGTGCGTGGCGTTGGGCTGTTCGTGGGCATCGAGCTGGTCCGCGACAGGATCAAGAGGATACCGGCGACGGCAGAGGCGCAACACGTTGTTTCCAGGATGAAGGAGAAGAAGATTCTCATCAGTAGCGATGGTCCCGACAACAACGTCCTGAAGCTGAAACCGCCGATGGTCTTCACCATTGAAAACGTTAATCATCTCGTATCCGTTCTCGAGGAAGTCCTCGAGGAAATCGATATTGGTTTTGACGAGGTGAGAGATTTCGTTCATATTATTATTATTTTATGTTATTATTATTATTATTATGTTCTCCATTGCATGCGTAAAATAAAAGTACTGATATGTATATTAATAATAACTGTGAATATACGGAGTGAGCATACAAAGGACGAGGCAATTCCGAGTAATAATTTTTATACGCCAAGCTTGCGTCTGTTATGCCTGCAAGCCTTGCCTTGTATGAGACTTGCCTATATTTTATTCAAAAATATGCTGAATCATGTATATTCAATGGAAATTGATGAACTACATATTACCCTAGCAAATGATTAACATACTGATATAACATATTTGCTTGTGATTCAAGGATATATTACGCAGCTTTTAAATTAAATATCTGCTCGTAAGTCGTTATATTTGTATAATACCTTTGCACGTTTTGATGTTGCGAGCATTTCACGTTTTTATATTCAGAGTATCACCTGCAAATTTTGCTAATCATTTGGTTGCGTATTGGAGTAATTTTCGTACGTTATTCGTGAGGTATCTACGTGCAAAATATTTTCTGACAAGCAATACGGCGATATGTGATTATGTCTTTATCAGTGTAAACGCATCGAAAAAAATAAGCAATAGAGAGTTAATCGTTGTAATCGAATAAAGATATATGCATTTCCTTAAAGAAAGGTATTACTGACCGTGATAAATTGACCAGTGATAAATTACTGTTTATTTCTCATTTGTACGAATAATAAAACTACTGAGAGATAGTAATTTATCATTGGCTAATTTATCACAGCCAGTAATATTTTTCTGTAAGAGAATGCGCACAATTTATTGCGATTCAGGTAAACTGCGCGTACTATATATTAAAGAAAAAACAGGGATAGTTTTTCATTTTTTTTTATAACTTCGAAAGAGGAATCAGCTGACTGACCGATTGTTTCAGGAACCGGAACCTACTACGACTATCATCAAAGCGACGATCTCTCCCTTAGAAGTCGACAGAGGCACGGTGGTTAGCAACGGAAACCCTCTACTCGTTCGTGCTAATTAATAATATTTAAATGCAATGAATATCTGGTTTTAATAGTGTCAAACTTACAGTTGTTTTAAGTAAAAGTATTATTATAATTAAAAATGATTTGTTATCATTTATGTATTTGTTATCTTTAAAATATTTTGTACTATTAAGTAAATATTAATAAAAATTAGAATTATTTCTGTTGATTAAAACATTTCTGATGAGATGTGAATGTAACACATAGGATACGTTTATTTTACACATACCTAAACATAGTATAAACTTTGAAAAGATGTTTCAAAGATGCCTTAAAGTATCCTATATTTTTAGACTTTTGAAAGACGTTTAAACTTTTAAAATTGTGTGCTATATAAGCATATATAGAGAGATCAAATTTTATATTTTACAAAGCGGGTCACTTAAAACCGGCAATCCGAATAACATTTACAGTTTTGAAGATAGGAAGAAATGTTCAAAGCAACTTTATTTAAATTTTTTTAAATAAAATCAAATAGTTTCTTTAACACAAATCAACTCCTCCGTTCATTCTGCGAATCAAAATACTAGGATAAGACCGTCAAAAAGTGACTACTAGGAATGACTAGGAATCAATTTATGTTAAAAAAGAAACTATATAATTCCATTAAAAAAATGAAGTTAACTTTCATTTGACGCCTTGATGCCTCCACTTAAAGTCAAATTTTTTATCAAAATATGTCCTCCTCGAGCTAACTGAGCAACTACTACTAAGCAACTTTTACTTCAAGCATTTTTTCCTATCTTCAAAACTGTGGATGTTATTCGGGCGGCCGTTTTTAAGTGACTTACTCTGTATATAAATATCATTTTACGCAAATTTATGTGGGCCTTAGATATTTCCTAATAAAACATTATAAAATTTGATTTAATCAACGGATGAAGTAATAACGATCATTGCGTATGTAATATTTATCGTCCATTCATAATATCTTCTGGCTTGCACGAATGATTTAGTTTTTAAGTGATAAGTTCAAGGACTTATCATGATCAATTGAGAAAGTGACTATCTCGGGAGTAACGGAAATGTTATTTCACTCGTAGACTTCCTGTTCGCGTAATCATCATTAGAAAATATCTCCCACCGCCGACAACGATATGTCGCGACCTGAAAAGCAAGATTTGATATTATTAACTTTTATAATTTATTAAAAGAGCATAAGTTTACATAACATCCGCTACAAGATTCTCCGTCGCTCGTCATTCTAAAATAGAAATGTGCGACCGGCAACGTAAGCTCACGCGCGATTCATTACTCTATTTATGCAACAAATGCATTAGGCAAAATTGAGTTAATAACTAATTAATCAGTTAAACAGTTAATAACTTTTAATTTTAAAAGAATTAACTTTTAATTTAAACTAATTAATTTCAAATACATTAACATCAACGTATGAACTATATTTATATAAGTATATTTATATAAGTTATTCTTATATATTATTTATATATTATTTATATAAGGGTATTTATATAACTATATTTATATAAGTTAAAATAATTTATCAGTATTAAAATCATTGCGGGCTGCTTATAGAACATAATATAAAATATAAAAAACATTAAATACATTGCCAACATAATTTTTTTCGTTTCTCTGAGTAATGATATTCTTATTTATAGAGTCCTGAGAGTAAAACAGTCAGTACGTACTTAATCTTTCATTATTTTACATAAATTCAATCTATAATTAAATAATTAATTAAGTAAAACAAACATACAAGAACACAAGTAAGTGTGTATATATGTGTGTGTGTGTGTATACATATATGTTAATTTCATTTTAAAATAACTTTTAAGTAAATTTTTTGTTTAAATGACTTTAATTTAACTAAATCCAGTAAGTTCATATATATTATTGAGTTTATATGCTTTAATTTAACTAATTAAGTTAATTAAGTTCATATGTCATTAACTTTTGATTTGTAACGTAGTAAAAAATAAAAATTAAGTTACCCAAATCTGCCATTGGATATATGCAAGTTTGAGAGCTTGCAGTTTCTATCGACGAAAAAAAAGGAAAAATCCGTACGATTAGAAATACATAAAAATTGGAATTATATAAAGTGTTAGACGTATAAACAGCATCTTTTAAATATTGAAGTTACCATACTTTATGATATCGATTAGATTCCTCGAATATTTAGCGAGAACTTTCTCCTCCATAAAATTTAAACTCTTTCATTACCGATGGGATTTCTCGGCTTTTTCATGATTACCATGGAAACTTCACCTGACAGACTTATTTTCTTTTTCATTAGTACCATAACTAGAAAGTAAATTGCATTTAATTTTAATTCAATTGATAAATCCGTGCAGAGATTGCAAAATGTGTCGATTTTTTCCGATCGACCAGGATGCAACGGGAATAACATGATTGAGAGGAATCGAAGTTCTGACCGGAAATTCTATGTCGCGACCTCGCCGTCACTTTCTCAACCATGTTGCGGTTGTCGCAAGTATGCAATTTATCGTGTGTAAGGTCAGAAAAAGTACATCATGCGTAAATGATACAGTTACAAGTTCGTGCGGCCACGGAATCTAAATCAGTGGCCATCGGGGGCGGGTCATGCTGAGTTAGCATATGATGTATATAAATTCAATCAATGAGAGAAAGCTCTCATTTCGCTTTGGGTATTCGCCACATAACATCATCATGTGGGTTCATTTCGCCCTTTTTCTTCTCGGTGAGTATCGTCAAGTCGGATAGCGGCAGCTTTCACGGAAATTCAAAATAATTTCATTTTCTAACTTATGATCTGTACTTAAAGCAATTTCTGCCTTACCATGTACAAATTAATAGCAATGGAGAAGTTTGGTCTTTCTTTTTCTCTCTTTCTCTTTATCTGTATCTTTCTCATAAAAACTTACGTGAGAAACTCTGCACGAATTATACACCAGTGTTGGAACAGCACGGGCAGAATTTCTCGACACAATCCGTCAATAAAATACACGTCTGAATTATTATAACTTACCTCAATAGAAGAAATAAACATACGTGACGATTCTTTTCTTTCGACAGCCGGGACGGCTCTGGCCAATGCGGCAATATGGGAAAAGGGACGTTTGTATCGCTACCACGTACAAACTCGAGCTATGACGGGCGCGAATACGGCATCTCGACAGTTCTCTGGGCTTCTAACGAAGGGCGACTTGTTACTTTATATAGTGGAAGAAGGCACCATGGTAGTGGAAGTACGCAACAACAAATATGCAAGCTTTCACACTGAAATAGCTTCTTCCTGGGATGAAGACATTGATGAAAAGAATAGATTAGATTACGTCGACATGCCGTTGTCACAGAAACCCTACAAAGTTAAATTCATTAGCGGAAGAATATTGGAAATGTTTGCTAACCCGGGCGTACCTATGTGGGAAGTGAACATAGTCAAAGGTATGTTGAGCCAACTGCAGTACAGTGAGGATTTAGAACTTAGAAGTCCGCAGGAACTCATAGTGATACCTAAGATGCCTACGAAAAATGACTACGTAACGTATACGGTCCGGGAGCAATCCGTCAGTGGCGATTGCGATACTACCTACGACATAATACCGTTGACCGAGGATGTGTCTGAAAAAGTACACCTAGTACCTATTCCGGATCTCGAGAACGATGAATACATAGATGTCATGAAGAACAAAGACTTCGGTAATTGCAGTCAGCTGCCGATGTACCAGTTTGCTGTGACGAGGGGGAAAAGCGAGTTCGACAAATTTGTTGTGGTGAGTTGAATTTTCACAGACACGTAATCCGCAGGCCAGAATACGATTTGTTATTCTCCGGGGGAGAGAAACTCCTAACTTAAGTGGAAGAATCGCGTCACGTACGAACATGTCCTGAGCGGACAGTGACAGGGCAGGTGAGAGATTAATCAACTGTTGTTACGACTGTTACAGAGAACGGCCAAGACTAATATGATCTTCTCGTATAATAAAGAGCATTATACCATTCGGTTGAGCGTAACGAAGAATAAGATACATGTCAGACCCGAGTGTAAGGATCTCATGACTACCGACGTCTTGACTATGTTGAACATGACTCTGGTTCAAAGGGTTTCTATCAAACAATGGCCGGTGATCCCCACGGATGTCAAGTCCGTAGGGAACCTAACGTATATTTACAGTAACTCGAGTCTGGACGACACATGGACCGAATCTGTACTCCGCGATTTAGAATTTGATTCGAAGTCCGGGGAAAGTGACGAACCAGCGAGTGGTACGAGACTTGGCGTCCTGATAAACAAAACTGACTTGTTATATCAAGCTATTTTGTTGAACCGCAAGATTGCAGAAGAAATAATTACCGATAATATACTGGAGCAAAACACGTTGGAGAAGTTCACGATCCTGACGGATGTCCTGCGTCTTCTAAATGAGACAGATTTAAAGAATCTCACGAATACTCTGTTTCCTTGGGACGTAAGGCATCAGAAAGATGAGATAAGGATAGTCAAATGGAAGATCCTCCAGGATGCTGTAACGCAGGCTGGGACAGGGCCTGCTTTCTTGACCATACGCTGGTGGATCACATCGAAGATGGTTACGGACTTCGAAGCGGCGCAGATCGTTTCTCGACTTCCCAGGACCGTGCGCGCACCCACGATGAAATATATAGACGCGTTTTATGTGAGTATCCTTTCACGTGAGACAATCACAAGGACAGAGTACGCGGAGGAAACGTGCCCCGTATAGCTTCTTTCTTTGATAAACTCCTTCAATCTTGTCATGTTTCCCGATAGTGCGAGAATAGACTGTCGGTAGAGGGATATAATAAATTGTTTAACAGTAGATCCCGATTTTTAGATCACACGTACCGTCCTCGACATTTTCTCCGTGGAGAAATTGACTTTGAACCGTTCGGGAAAATTGAAGTCGTGAGAATTGGGCACACCCTATATATACACATTCACACATACCACATATGATACGGAAAGATAATAAATTAAGGAACGACATATCGATATGCCGGTTACAAAATTCTGTGGCTATTTTAACTATAATCCTCCCTCCGAACAACGAGGCTCGCGTCATCTCCTCGTAACGGATCTCGCCACTTCGTCGCGAATCATGGATCGATTCACTTCACCAGCACGTACAGTCCGACTTTTGTTGACAGGAACTTATCAAGGACCCGAAACTGAAGGACCAGCTGTATTTGAATTCCACTGCACCCTTCGCCTTCTCCGAACTAATCCGCTACGTCATGGGCGGGTATTATAAAGATCTCTACTTCACGCGTGTGTACGGCAAATTAATCACACGTGAAGATGCAAAATGGGTGATCAATACTTATATTCCCTATCTGTCCAACGAGCTAAAGAAAGCTTACGAGGAGAAGCATATCAGCCGAATACTGACGTATACTGAAGCTTTGGGTAACCTAGCCCACCCGAATGTTATCCTAGTGCTCAAGCCATATTTAGAGGGGAAATATAACGTAACCACATTCCAACGAATGAGAATGATCATGTCGTTAACGACGCTGAGTCAAGTGCAGCCGAACCTCATCCGACCGATTGTCTACAGGATATTCCAAAACCAGGAGGAGAATTCCAGAATACGAGTTGTGGCGGTCGGGATGTTGCTGAACAGCTACCCATCTCTGCGCATATTGCAGCGTTTGGCGGACAGGACCAATTACGAGACATGTCCGTATGTGAACAGCGCTATTAAAACCGGCTTAAGGAGTCTCGCTAATTCACGGCTGCCTCAGTACCGTGAGGTCGCTAAGAACGCGCGTATCGTATGGAAGCTGCTGAATCGGCATATTCGAGTCGTTGTCGGACAGGCTTTGAACCACGGTCACGATTATACGTCTACGGGGAAGGACTTCTCCACTTGGTTTAACTTGAATACTCTCGATGGCAGTAGGTCGATCATTCCCGATTTTCTTAACTTACAAGTGGGACTTAACTCTTCCTCCTTATCGCCGCCCGATTTGGAATTTGGGTACGGCGTAACGGATTTGACGACGTTAATGGACACGTTGAAAGAGATGTTTCTACCAAATGATGAGCCCGCAAAGCCAACGACGGTTGACGAAGTAGTTAGCAATCTCGATATCAGAGTCAATAAAAGTTTGCTAGAGGGATTAATCGTCAGCAGAAACCCATATGGAGTGTATCTCCTTCCCTTCGACAATTACACAGTGCAAAACTTAATGAACGGTAAGTCTGATGAATTTCACTTGTAAACGCGCGCCTCACCTATGAAGAAATATAAATCGTTACTTGTCGTTGCATTACAGAGACTTTAAAACTTTACGGAAGACATCGGGTCGACGAACGTCCGTACTTTCACCTGAACTCATTAGTAAACTGGGAAGTATCATTGTTTTATCCCAACGAAATGGGTGTGCCCGTAAGTTATCACCTGAAGACTCCCGCATTGGTTTCTCTCAAGAATGATGTGCATATAAAAGGGGAGACGAAGCCGGTGAATATGAAAGTAAGCGCCGATTTAAATGTACTGTTGAGCGGAAAAGTCATAAGCAGAATCGGCTTTACGGCACCTTTCGAAAAGCAATATTACATTTCCGGTATTGATTTTAATACCCAACTACATGGGTCAGGAAATATCACTGTGAACATGGATTGGACCGAGAAAACCTTAAACTTAGATTACAAACCACTGCCAGGTTTAACGCGTAATACGGTGCTTCACCACAGCATCATTCCATTTACTGGGAAAACCGAGACCTGCTCTTTTGAACCTATATATGTCGACAAAAACACGCAAAAAGTACAGATCGGGAAACTCCAGTCACAAGTAACAAAGTTGGGAAAGATTACCATCACACATGTGACCGATAATTTCTATGCTTACAACTACGAGACATTAGTAAATGGCAACTTGTACCAACGATTAATGAGTTACATAGCTACCACGAATTACAATTACAAAAAGATAGATGTGACGGTGGACTCGCTGGAAGACTACAAATTATCCGCTTTCCTCAGTTATAACAGGACAAATTCGCCCGACAGTTCACAAGAAAGGCCTGAGTTGTTGAACACGCTAACGAGAGAAATGAGCTATACATTTAAAAAGGAGGACAACGTTCCGGCCGTTGTGCATAAGGTCGAAGTTCATGCTAAACTGGGGGACAAGAAGGTTCAATACAAATGCGAAGGAGGCGTAATGGAATTGGAGCCGCTCCTGTACGGCAAATTGTATGGTCGATGCCATCTTCGTGGTTCGGATGTGTCGGCGATTTGCGCCATAGGAGAGCTATATGGCACTCCGTCTGCTTGTCCAACGTTGAATGTAACGTCCCTGAAAGAGGATGGAGTGGATTTATTAGTACGCTACGGGGAATCTTGCAGTGACGGGAAGGATGTTCGTTTGGAAGGGCGTACAGTACAAAGTTTGGAAGTGATGGAAAAATTAGCGAAATCCGAGAAATACCGGAAGGCCAAGGAAGAGATGGCAGAAGGCAACTTGGGTTTGACGAACACCCGGGAAGTCTGTGAGTCCATCGACACGAGGGATGATATATCATTGACGGCGAAAATGGATCCGGTAGAATTCGAAAATATATACAACCAGCTTATTCGACTGCTCGGTAACGTTTTGCTTCCTGGCTGGAAAATAGGCGTAACTGAGCCGATAAACGAATATTCTTTGAAGACGAGCGATATCGGTCTGAAAATAAAGAAGTTGCCTAAAGATATGCTGAACCTCACCGTATCTACTCCGAAGCTTATCATTAACACCATCTTGGACAATTCCGATTTGCCTTCTTTAGAGTTGGTGAAGAGTAAGTTGAACTTGTCACTTGGTATTAAAGAGACGAATGAGTCTTGAAAATTTTATGCGAAATAATAAGAACTCCCGGGAATATTTTCATATATCGATAGTAATAATAGTCATAAATTTCGATGTACCGACAGAACGTATATTTATTCGTGAGCGAGACGGCGCACGAATTGCAGCGCAGCAACTGTTTGTTCCATGTTCCAATTTTCCTTTTGTTACACGTGCCCGCGCACGCAGAAACACATTCACGTTTGAATCTTTAGTCTTTTCTTCCTTTTCTCCTGAATCATTTCGCGAGCGCATCTACACAGTTATTGCCAGTATAAACAAGTAGAAAGCACGTCTCTTATGTTTCTTCGTAAAAATTCCGTCGTAACCATTTGCGAGTGTCCTTTACTGCAATGTATAACTGATATATTTTCTCACCTACAGAACAATGCACACTCGGTAGAAATAAGGTTTTAACTTTCGACGGATTGGAATACCCCGTCAAATTGAGAGGAATTCCATATGTGCTGATGATCAGCCCTAGCCTGAAGAATTACAGTCTGAGCACCAGTCTGAATTACGATATTATCACCAAAATTGAGGCTATGCCGGAGGACACGAACGTAGCTATTTTGGCTAAAGAATTGGAAAACGGCCATAGGCAATTAATTATACTGAATCGCGAGAAGATCTTAATATTCCAGTTAGCTAGTGTCGGCAGGAATACAGTAATTATGCTAAATGGAAAGGTTATTAAATTCCAAGGAAATCATGCCGTCTTGCAGAATGACAAAAACTCAGTCATACTAATTACAAAACTAACGTATGAGTTATATCGAATTTCTATGAAGATAGCTGGAGTCTATATTAATTACGACGGGAGGCGCGTGCAAATTGAGGTAAATGAAAACATTAGTAAACACCAAGTAACAGTAACATAACATCGACGTTATAATTTCCCACTCAACAATGTAAATGCAATATAACGCGTGTGTTATGTAACAGTTGCATTGTTGAGTGGGAAGGTGTAACATTGATGTTGTATTACTGTTAGTTGATGTTTGCTGGGACGCGAATGAAAGCGGATTTGCGTGGCTGCTGCGAAATGTGACACTCTGAATTTCAGGGAGTGACACTTTTTCTCGGAAAGTAAAATTATAACCTAGTCATTCGAACTCAAGTGACTTTTCGATCAGATTTAAATTCTCCGCTCTAAATTGTCGAGCGAACATTTTTCCCTCGAAATTGAATCCGATATATACTCCACTACAGGAAAGGATTCGCTCCGACCGATGAAAAACTTCGCACGTATCGAGTCCAAATTGAGTTCGAATGAAAATTACGCTTTCGCGATCTCGAGAGACAATACTTTGCTTTTTGCTATATCAATTTCGAATGGAAATGCCGCCGCAGCATTTTTCAGTGGCATTCCACTTCGAGAAATTTAGAGAGTATGACATGTAATTTAAAACAAATCTCTTTCGTATTCCAGGCGTCTAATATGTATAACGGACTCGTGCGCGGCTTGTGCGGTAACAAGGACGATCATAAGAAGAATGACTTGCTTACACCGGCAGGATGCGTTGTGAAGGAATCCAAATATCTCGTCGTCTTGTATGCCTACGACAAAGATAACGAGGACGAAGTCGTTAGGCGAGAGAAAGAAGAAGCCAAGCGGGCTAAGTGCGTTAAGTTGGAGAGTTCTCCAGGCGAAGTTGTCACCGGCAAGGTTAAACAAACACACGGCGACCCTTGGTATAACTTACTATACGGCGGCCCTGGGTACAACTTACTTACTTTGTGTTCTTTACTGAGAACTGACGTCTTGACGAGGAAAGAAGATATCTGCTTCTCCGTTAAACCTCTTCTAAAATGTTTGCCTGGCTGCAAGTTCGATCGCATGGTCACAAAACAATTGGGATACCATTGTATGCCGATGAGCGACCAGGCCGTTGAGTTAAAGAAAAGAGTAGTGGCAGGGGCCAATCCAGACTTCAGTCACAAATCCATTTCATATTATAGAGACGTAAATGTCCCGAATGTCTGCCACACGACATAGTACGATGACGTCAGGAAACGCAAAGGCACATGGGTTAATCGAACAGATTCTACTTTTTATCTTCCTTTTTTATGAAACTAGAAACATGTTACCTTAGTGATGCACAATAACTTAAAGCAATAAAGTTGAGCGTTCTCAACGTGATCACTGATTACGACCCCTCTGTTTTCCGGCGAACGAAACGTGATTAGCTTCGATCGCGAGGGAAAATCGATAACAGGCGAACGTAACGCGCGTTCATATCATTCGCGTTATTCGCGCGAATTGACGGTAAACTCGACAGTCGAGCTGATGTACGCGTGAATTATCAATAAATGAGTCGATGATGCGCGTACGGTTGAAAAATAACCTTAATAATCTAATTATATTGCGTGTAATTAACGCGAATATGACTGCAGGATACAACGCGGCTGATGACGGACAGGGTTATAAGAAATCTTCGTCGTACGTTCCTTCGGCAGTTCCGACGTGTTTTATTAGAAAAATTCCAACGACATGTTTTCAGGTGTTATTACGACACACCTGCCGTGCGGAAATCGATCACAGGATCCCAATGTACATCAAAAGGACGAAGAGCGAGGTCGACGCAAACATCAGGGCTACCGCACCGGTCGCCAGCAGGACGTTTTTCTTCTTCTTCTGCGGGTTCCTCGCCACCACATGAAAGTCCTTCCGCGACTGCAAAAGGAACATTCAGAAGTATTATGTGTCGTAGCCAATAATAGCGCTCGATGATTGTTATAACCTTCTCTCGCGGTCAGTGAGTCACGACCTCTTAATCGGTGTATAAGATTACGATAATTAATTTCTTCGTACATCTCTCTCTCTCTTTCTTTGTTTCTTTCTCTCTTTGTTACAGCCGTTTACAAATAACGAATCGTTCCGAAACGGTAAAATCTCTCATCAGTAAAAAAGCGACGTTAAACGCGCGCTGATCGAAGGATTTCAATCAGCGACACTACCGTTCGAAATTCGATCGATGAATCGCCGCTGAATCGCGAAATCCAATAATTTTCAACCCTTTCGCAACGAATAGCCCCAATCGCGAAGTAATAATAATTTTACGAATCATTTTTACGAGCACCCCTGTGCGGGATGTAAGTATGAGTGCGATATAAATGTGAATGCGATGAATGCGCGTTATTCGGTTTTACCGTATCTAACGGGAAATCTAATCGAGATATGTGGACATTTTTTTCTTCGATCGATCCACTGATTCTATTTCATATATGCGATCCTTCTGATACTCAGGGGACTCACCGTAATTTGGAGGCTCTGCGTTTTGCGCACGAGCTCGTCCAATTTCTGGCCCCGATCGATTAACTTCTGCACTCCGTCCATCAGCGCGTGACGTATTTCTGCCAATTCACCCTCCAGCCTTGGGATCAGAACCTTGGGATCGGCATCTTGTTGGTTGTACTCTTCCTGAAACAGCGTCGAATTATCTCTCTCTCTCTCTCTCTCTCTCTCTCTGTCTATAGTGTCATTTTATGCATTTTGCTGAAATGAAGAAAAGAAAACCTGGCTTGTTCCACTTACGATGATCTTTTTCAACGGCTTTGAGAGATCCACCACCGCGAGATTGGTCAGGTCCCTTGAGAGGTCCGCTAACATCGGTAACTCCCGATAAACGGAGCGCAATCTCTCCAAGAACACTTGGCAGCAGGACTCCAGCCGAATCGCCGATGAGGGACAGTCCGACTTCGACGTCAAGCAGGCGTAGTGAAGCTCGCCGATCAGCACGTGCGCGGTATACCTGCGGTGGAATCGGACTTCACGTTCGGCAGCGACGCGAGCGAGAAGGGCCACGGGACCGCCCGAAAGCGTATGCTTGTGTATTAATTACCCGTCGCGACCTGTTACACTGATTTAACGACTCCCTCCGCGAACCATACAGAGCGGATTCCACTCAACGCTCGCGACCACGCGAGCTCATCTTCGCTCATCTCGCTGGATGTTAAGTAAAGATAGAACGCGCGAACGTTAAGTGGAACCTGCGAGTCCATAGCGAGTCGTGTAGAGAAAAACCGCTGACGTTCGTCTAATGCATACGCAACTCGACATGTCCGAGAGTGGAAAACAACTCTCTCGGCCGCGCGAGACGCTTATCGCGCGAATGCAACGTGCCGCGTCTGAAGCAAGGACGCCTGGAAGGGAAACGCGATCTTCTTCGATCGAATATGCGAGTTACGCTAGGAAATGAGAGGGCAGAGTGTGGTGAGAAATCTTACTTGCCCCGATCGATGCTGATTTTATCGTCCTCGAGCGTCTTCAGGCCGGCGACGGTGCTGAGGGCGATGGCACGATAGGCCGGGTCCGCGGGATAATCCGCGACGATCTTGCAGCCGGACTTCTCCCAGAAAGCCACCAGCGCGTAATGCACGTCGGTCCCGTTCATTTCGTTCGCCGGAGAACAAGGCACTTTCGTCGCGAGCGAAAACCGCCGGATGACAGATTGCTCGTATCACATTCGGTTTCGATGCGAGTGACAGAGAAAGAGAGAAAGGCTGCTGCAGGCTGTTTACGCCGATCCGCTGTACACAGTCAGCGAGTAACGAAAGAAATTTTGATAAACTCGATAGTGGACACACACACACACACACACACACTCGCGAACGTCGGCCGCCAGCAGCAGATGCTGCTGCGAGAAATGAATCGTGAAACGGAGCACGATTAATCATCACTGCATGTAAATCGCCGAATTTCTCATTCGCGTCCGATATTGCAGAATGACCGAGTATCGAAAGCGAAAAAGGGGGGAAGAGAAGAGAGAGATGACTTTCACTGAAAACATTAAACAATCTTTTTAAGGGGATCGCCCTGCTTGAAAAGCTGTGTTGGCAAAATATCGACTCCTTTCTGCAAAGATTACACCGTACTGGCTGCGTAGAATTATATGCACGGAAATAAATTGGAGCATTGCTCAGTATGTGACGAAAAAAATTGAAATTTTCGAAATTGTGATCTCTTCCTTGTAAAAAAGCATTACCGACCGTAATAATTTATCACTGGCCAATTTATCACAGTCAGTAATACTTTTCCAGTAATACGTAAGGGCAGTAAGGAATGCGTCAAAGCTCCAATCAGGGAAACTTCAATGAACATTTTCATATATTCCCGATTAAATTTAAAGGTATCTGAAAAGATACGAAAAGTTTGTAGAAAAATTTTTATATATCTTAGATTTTCCGTTAGATATGGTAAAACAGAATAACTCACACTCATCGCACTCACATTTATATCGCATTTACATTTACGCCCCTAACAAGTAGATTCCGATAATGTTCGGAAGATATCATAACAGTAAATTGCGCATGTTTTCTGAACATTCAAGATATGTTCTACGAATAATGTACAAAGAATATTTGTATTATAGTATATTGAAAATATGTTCTTACTGTTCGTTTTCTCTGTATGTATTGAAAATATCTCTGATAAAAGAATTAATAAATTCGGTTGAATTCAAACAACCCTATTCATTAAAATGGTTCAAACAAACTATAATGTTTGATAATTTTGTTTAAATAATAAAAAAATTATCATTTCATATTTTGTGCCGCTATACTCATATGGTTTTGATTCTGTGTGTGATCGCTTATTCTTTTCAAAGCTACGGGTTCCGTGACTTCAATGACCGAACAGGAAGTTATAGTGAGCTTTAACGATATCTCTTTAGATTTAGATAGATTGTGCTTATATCATTCACCAAATAATGGCATATTTAATGACAAGGATTAGAAAAAATGTAACACCAGTCAATATAAAATGGATATTGATGTAATGTATATGTGTAATGTATATTTTAGCGAACCAGTGATATCATTTGCTCTTAGATTTTTAACTGAACATTATAATGATCAGAGTAAATAATAAATTAATTATATAACACAAAGTATAAAAGAATTCATACTAATAATAAGAAATTTCATGTGTATCTTTCTCGTTATTAAAATGTTCAAATTATTTTAGTTGAAAAAATGCAGGTGTTACTTCTAAAATGCGAGGTCTGGCTATTAAATAACGAGACTGCGCGCGCAAAAGTCGTCCTAGAGGGGAAGGGGAGGAAACGAATGCAGCGTTGGATATTGTTTATAACATAATACAACTTGAAAATATTAGATCATATATAATAGCAATTATATTTATATAATATAATTAACTATTAGATAAACAGGAAAATTCCCTCCATCTAGCGGCGAGTAGATAAAGAACTGTCGAAAACTTCAATATCTAAACCAATCTTAAGTTTTCAGTTTTACCATCTGTTAATAAAATTCAATATATAATAGTGTACGATCGCAACAATAAAATTGTTTCTTATTACATCAAAAATGTCGAAATTTGAGCCAAATAAGTGTAATTTGCGCGAAGTGTTAATCTTTTACATCAAATGGAAGGAAACTGCAGCTGAAGCTCATCGAAACCTTGAAAGTTGAAGATATTACTGGAAGAAGATTCATGTCAGACGCTCAAAAACATGTCGGAAACAATAAATGTCGATGAGTCATTTGTTAGCAAACGTTTAAAAACAATTGGAATAATCAAAAAGCTAGGAAATTGGGTACCACATGAATTGAGAGAAAGAGACACTGCAAAATATTTAACCACTTATAAATTGCTGGTTCAATGACAAAAATATTCGATAGTCGATTTCACATCGACTCCACGCTAGACCACATGTTGCAACACCAGTAAAGAAAATCTTGGAGGCACTTGGATGGGATGTCTTACCACACCAATCCTATTCACCAGACGTTGTTCCTTTAGATTATCATTTGTTTCGGTCGATGCAGCATGGCATTTCTGAGCAGCACTTCGGTTCTCTCGAAGATGTCAATAAATGTTTCAATGACTGGATCGCCTCGAAAAAACTTGAAATTTTCTACTGCGGAATTTTTGTTGTCTAAAAAGTGGGAAAAGGTTGTACCGTATGAAAGACAATGCTTTGAATAAGATATAACATAACGTTCTTTTAAAATAAACATGAGTTTTCGTAGCGGGAACAGTGAGAATTAATTCAAGCACTTAATAATATCCACAAATTTTACGCGGGCACTTGTAAAAGAGTAAGACTTTTGTCTTTAAAACCAAATTTATAAATATGAGACTGCCATCGAACTTATCATTAAATATCTTGTACATTAATCAATTTCCGCAACAGTACTTCCACTTGGAAAGTATGTTGACATTTCGAGGATAACTTTTGATTTATCGAAGAAAAACAAACGATACAAAATATATCGATAATTCGTGAAAAATTGTCTATCCACGCAGTCACCGTAAATTTCATTTGGACGTAATATAAATGTCAGTCCCGTTGACGACTTGCAATAAAGAATAATGTCTTAAAGTTCAGAGAACAAATTGATAAGATAAGCCACATGGTCAGTTTACGTTTTGGTACAAAGAGAACGGTTACATGTATATAAAGAATTATTTCTCTCACAGAGTCAGTTCATACCGTCTGTTCGAAGAATATAAGTGGTATATAATTTGCCATAAAACGCGGCCACCATGGTGATTTTATTATTCACCTTCGTCCTCGGAAGTATCGTGGCGGCATATATTTATCTAACCAGAAGTTATAACTATTGGCGTGACCGTAACATTCCGTGCGCTAAGGGCACACTTCCAGGATTTGGGCATACATTGCCGTTGCTTGTCATGCGAACAACTCTGGTTGATCTCGTTCAACGGATCTGTGACCCTTATCCAGATAGCAGTATGGTAGGTTTCTACCATCAGACGACGCCTGCGTTGGTGATTCGCGAGCCGGAACTGGTGAAGACTGTGCTGCAGACCAACTTCGCAAGTTTTTCCAGGAACGCATGGAAAATTGATTCTCATCTGGACCGTCTGAACGCTGCGAACCCTTTCTTCAGCCATGGCGATACATGGTTGATAAGCAGGAAACACATGGGCCTCGCGTTTACTACCAGAAACATAAAAATCTTTTTGAACTGCATCCAGCAGGTGTGCAACAATCTTGAAAATTATTTGAACGACAAGCTAAAGGAGAATAATAACACGATAGAACTCGAGCTTAAAAGTCTGGCCAGCAGATATACAACTTCAGTGGCGGCTTATACCAGTCTCAGCGTAGAAAATGTGAGCTTCGAACACGAATCAGACGTGACGTCAGTAAGCAAAATTACTGAGTTGATGTTCGGGACGAATTTCATCAGTCTGTTAAGGCAGACTATTTGTTTCTACTTTTATTATTTCAAACGAATACTAGGAATATCATATGTGTCCGCAAAGATTCAGGACTCCTTTTTTGGCTTCATAAAGGAGATAGTGCACATTAGGCTACAGGAGAAGAATACGCGTAAATTTGACTTTTTGCAATTAATGTTGGATCTGAAAGAAACCGAAAATCTTGACTACAATGTGATGTCTGCTCATGTTTCCACTTTCTTCATGAATATGCATGATACGTCAACTGTGACACTATGCTTTGCGGCTTATGAAATTGCGCGTCATCCGCATGTTCAACAGAAAATCCGCGAGGAGGTGAGGACTGTTCTCGCAAAGTACGACGGCCAATTGTCCTACTACGCGCTGAAGGAAATGACGTACATAGATCAAGTGATCAACGAATCGCAAAGACTCTATCCTATTCTGCCCTGCATGGGCAAAATATGCACTGAGGAGTTCGAACTGAAGAGTTCGGATGGGCTCAGCTGTCGCATACATCCCGGAACAGAGATCTTCGTGAATGTCTATGAAATACACAGAAACCCGAAATACTGGCCCAATCCGGAAGTTTTTGATCCCGATCGTTTCTCCTCGGATAGAAAGACGGAGATCAAGAAGTACACTTATTTGCCGTTCGGTGAGGGTCCGAGAATTTGCGTGGCAATGAGAATTGCTATGTTGCAGACGAAAGCTTATCTAGCCATGATCATAAAGAATTACACTCTGGAGTTATCGTCTAAGACGCCGAAGGAACCTCTCAAGTTTATGCCTGGCAGTTTTCATGTAAAACCTATTAGTGGTTTATGGGTTCATCTTAAGCCTCTTTAATTCTTTGTGTTAGAGAATATTGTAGAAAATAATGTATAAATAATATCAATCTATTGTGAAATGTCGGAGATAAGTTTAGATGGATATTTTTCTAAATGACGAAAATTACGAAATAATGTAAAATTATGAAAATTATTCTAATAGTTGAGATATATGGTCAGTGTCATAACACAACGTGAAATTTAAGTTATTTTCACTCATTGCAGACAAACGTGACATAATTATATATAGTCGAATTTATATGCGAATAAACATATATTTACAATTACCAGTCTTAACGGTTAAATAACACATTTCAGAGTTAGTTGCGCAAGTTAAACACATATTACGCACATATCATATATATTAAACAAATATTATACTTACGCATGTGAACATGACAGGGTGTATGCGAGTGTGTCATTGTATGTAAACTCATAATTTTATTTTTTACTACTAGTTTATACGCTTATCAAAAAAGTGGCAATAGAACAGAAATAAAGATAAATTCAGGAAAAGAGAAAAATATATTAAAATATAAATATTATTGATGTCAGTAAATGCAGATCTTGCAATTTCAATTTTTACCCTTATTCCTACTATTATTAACACATCTCTTTATGTTTATGTTTGCAAAATTAAAACAATCTTCGAATGTCAGTGAGGTAGAGTAATGATGTAATAACGTTGGAGCTGAAACATTTAACTTGCATACATGCTTAATATCGCAAGTAAGAAATAATGTTTGTCTAAAGTCACGAAAGTATTCGCTTCGACATCAGAAAATATCAACTAACCGTAACATAACATCAAAGTTAGAATTTACCACTCAATAATATAACTTTTACATAACACACGCGTTATTAAATTTACAGTGTTGGGTGGGGAATTATTAGATTTTGATATTATTACTGTTATGTTCATATTATTAATTAAAGAAGCCTCTATGCAACTTCACTTTCCTCCCCTTCAGTGAGATAACGCGAACCTGCACTGGAACGATAATGGTTCTGTTGCAAATAAAAGCAGGTCTAGATAGGCTTCTGAGAAAATACAGTCTGGTACTATACCCCAAAATAGATGTGCCTTTGAAAGTAGTGCCTACAACTCTGTTACCGTCACAATAAGGGGGTTTATGGGTTTTTCTTCGACGACTTCAACTGCGAAAATTTTTTCCAATCCTTTCTAACGAGTTAAAATAATTTACTCCGTTGTTTCCCGAAGATAACAGATTACACAGATAACATTAAATTGATATAGCCATTTTTGTTATCACGCCAATTATTTATTTCTTAATATTTCATAATTATAGCTATGACCTTATAATATTCCAATAGTCTTTATTACGCATAATTTTGCGTTGTAAGATATCGGTCGTACTTTACGCAACAATATTTATCTGCGAAAGCAAGAGATCATTCATGCTGCTCATGACATGCATACGAGTGTTTCTTTCGTAAAAATCAATTTCTAATAATACCTTAATAATTTCTTGCTTGTTGCATAACATATATATCGTTGCAAATAATAATATCATATATATACATAACTTAATTTCTTAAGTCAGTTATAAAGAAGGGTAAATAAACAATTTGAATAAAAATCGTACTGCTATATGTAAGATTGAAGCTATATTTTTTCATAAACCAATTCTTTTCATCAGACTCAATCCTTCAGGTTAATTCGAATTTTATCTAGCACGAAAAATATGATACAGTCAAAAAACAGCGGTTAGAAAAAATAAATCTTTATTTGCGCATGATATTTCAACATGTCTGATACGATATGTTGTTTCTCACTAGGACATATTGCGAATGTTTTTGAGTAGATAACATTTTAGTAATTTCATCCATTATACAGCAAGCAGCATCATATCTGCCTGTCACCTTGACCAAATGAGTTGACTTTATCAGTAGCAAAAATCGACTAAAAGGCGATAAAGAGGCGACAGAATTTATAACCATTGAACATCGGTTATTGCAGTAATATAATACAGAGAAATAGCAAGTAATATAACGNCCACATTGCGAATGTTTCGAGTAGATAACATTTTGCTAATTTCATCCATTATACAGCAAGCAGCATCATATCTGCCTGTAACCTTGACCAAATGAGTTGACTTTATCAGTAGCAAAAATCGACTAAAAAGCGATAAAGAGGCGACAGAAATTTGTAACTAGTAATCATCGGTTATTGCAGTAATATAATACAGAGAAATAGCAAGTAATATAACGTTAGCTGTATAAATGTTATGAAATGTGATATACAATATAAATTTTGCGTATGACATTACAATAATGTGTAGAAATATTATTCAAACATAATATTGTTTTCCTAATGCAATATAAAGTTCGTTGTTTGTATTACATAGCAGTTATAAAACATGGTAGCTCTAATGCATTAAATGCCATGGAACTATTATATAACAAACGTATTATATTACATTTACATAGTTATGTAGTAAATTATAACATTGATGTTATGTTACTGTTAATTGATGTTCTCTGGATATTGTATATAACATAATACAACTGGAAAACATTAGATCATGTATAATAGCAATTGTATTTATAGAATATACGTAACTATTAGTTAAATAGGAAAGTTGCGTCCATCTAGCGGCGAGTAGCTATAGCTAGAACTGTCGATAACTCCAATGTTTAAACCAATCTTAACTTTACAGTTTTACCATCTGTTAATAAAATTCAATATATAATAGTGTACTATCGCAACAATAAAATTGTTTCTTATTACATCAAAAATGTCGAAATTTTTATATGCATACCTTATTTTATATGCATATATACTTAATAAAAACATATGTGTATATATACATGTATAATATATTAGGTGAATTAATTTAATTTAATTTTCGCTGTTGACTAATAGAGGTCAGTAGTTGTACTACCTCAACACGTTCCGAAGTGACTGTTGATGTATAAGAAAGTAGTGTCAAGAGACTTTAATCATCACTGTTTGACATTAGAGCGTAACGCGAAAACACAATTTTTTATTACCTAGAAAAAACGTTTCGTACCAAAAAACAGCATTTGTGGGAAGCATTCTTTTTCTGCTTTTATCTCAAGAAATCTGCTGCTGAAAGTCATCGTTTGCTAATAGAGGTTTATGGGAAGAATGCTCTATCTGTAACAGCTTGCAGATATTAATTTAGACCATTCAAAGACAACGATTTGGATGTGAATGACTAAGAGCGCCCTGGTCAGCCGAAAAAGTTTGAAGGTGGAAAATTGAAGATATTGCTGGAAGAAGATTCATGTCAGACGCTCAAAGACATGTCGGAAACACTAAATGTCGATGAGTCAATTTTTAGCAAACGTTTAAAAACAATTGGAATAATTCAAAAGCTAGGAAGTTGGGTCTCACATGAATTGAGAGAAAGACACACTGAAAAATATTTAACCGCTTATAAATTGCTGGTTCAAATACAAGAATATTCGATAGTAGATTTCACATCGAATTATGGCTGGCGATGAAAAATGGATTCGTTACGCCAATCCTAAGCGCAAAATGTCATAGGTACGTCCCAGCGAACAATCGACATCAACACCAAAGCAGAATATTCATGGGAAGAAGGTCATGCTGTGCACTTGGTGCGATAAAGTAGGTGTAGTATATTATGAGCTGCTGCAACCGAGTCAAACCATCAATACTGAACGCCACTGACGACAGTTACTCAATTTGAATTGAGCATTCTAAGAAAAACGCCCGCAATACGCCAAAAGACATGACAAAATTATTCTTTTCCATGACTTACTACACCACATGTTGCAACACTAGTAAAGAAAATCTTGGAGGCACTTGGATCGGATGTCTTACCACATAAGTCCTATTCACCAGACGTTGTTTTTTTTAGATCATCATTTGTTTCGGTCGATGCAACATGGGATTTCTGAGCAGCATTTCGGTTCTCTCGAGTATGTCAATAAATGCTTCAATGACTAGATCGCCTCGAAAGAACCTGAATTTTTCTATTGCGGAATTTATATGTTATCTGAAAAGTGGGGATAGGTTGTGCCGTACTAAGGACAAAATTTTGAATAAGATATAACGTAACGTTCTTTTAAAATAAACATGAGTTTTTGTAGCAAAAACGGTGAAAATTAATTCAAGCACGTAATAATAACCCCAAATTTTGCACGGGTACTTGTAAAAGAGTATGACTTTTGTCTATCAAACCAAATTTATAAATATGTGACTGCTATCGAACTTATCTTTAAATATCTTGTATATTAATCCGTTTTCGCAACAGGACTTCCACTTGGAAAATATATTGACATTTCGAAGGTAACCTTTGATTTATCGAAGAAAAACTATTGAAAGAATACATGTCGATAATTTGTGAATACATGTCTATCCACTCCGCCACCGTAAATTTTATTTCGACGAAATACAAATGACTGCCCTACTTACGATTAGCAACAAAGAATAACATCTTACGGTTCAGAGAACAAGTAGATAAGGAAAGCAACATTGTCAGCTTATGTTGTGGTACACAGAGAAGGGGTCCATATATATAAAGACGTATTTTTCTCAAGGAGTCAGTTCATATCGACTGTTCGAAGAATATAAGTGCTATATAATTTGTCATAAGACGCGGCCATGGTGATTTTATTATTCACCTTTGTCCTCGGAAGTATCGTGGCGGCATATATTTATCTAACCAAAAATTATAACTACTGGCGTGACCGTAACATTCCGTGCGCGAAGGGCACACTTCCAGGATTTGGGCATACATTGCCGTTGCTTGTCATGCGAACAACTCTGGGTGATCTCGTTCAACGGATCTGTGACCCTTATCCAGATCGCAGTATGGTAGGTTTCTACCATCAGACTACGCCTGCGTTGGTGATTCGCGAGCCGGAACTGGTAAAGACTGTCCTGCAAACCAACTTCGCAAGTTTTTCAAGGAACACTTGGAAAATCGACTCTCAACTGGACCGTCTGAACGTTGCGCACCCTTTTCTCTGCTACGGCGATACATGGTTGATAAGCAGGAAACACATGGGTCTCGCGTTTACTACCAGAAGCTTGAAAATCTTTTTAAACCGCATCCAGCAGGTGTGCATCAATCTCGAAAATTATTTGAACGACAAGCTAAAGGCGAATAATAACACGATAGAACTCGAGCTTAATAGTCTGGCCTGCAGATATACAACTTCAGTGGCGGCTTATACCAGTCTCAGCGTAGAAAATGTGAGCTTCGAACACGAATCAGACGTGACGTCAGTAAGCAAAATAACTGAGTTGATGTTCGGGACGAATTTCATCAGTCTGTTAAGGCAGACTTTTTGTTTCTACTTTTATTATTTCAAACGAATATTAGGAATATCATATGTATCCGTAAAGATTCAGGACTCCTTTTTTGACTTCATAAAGAAGATAATGCACATTAGGCAACAGGAGAAGAATACGCGTAAATATGACTTTTTGCAATTAATGTTGGATCTGAAAGAAACCAAGGAAATTGACTACAATGCGCTTACTTCACTTGTTTTCACTTTCTACATGAATATGCATGATACGTCGACTGTGACACTAGGCTTCGCGGCTTATCAAATTGCACGTCATCCGAATGTTCAACAGAAAATCCGCGAGGAGGTGAGGACTGTTCTCGCAAAATACGATGGCCAATTGTCCTACTACGCGCTGAAGGAAATGACGTACATAGATCAAGTGATCAACGAATCGCAAAGACTCTATCCTATTCTGCCCTGCATGGGCAAAATATGCACTGAGGAGTTCGAACTGAAGAGTTCGGATGGGCTCAGCTGTCGCATACATCCCGGAACAGAGATCTTCGTGAATGTCTATGAAATACACAGAAACCCGAAATACTGGCCCAATCCGGAAGTTTTTGATCCTGATCGTTTTTCCTCGGAAAGAAGGACGGAAATCCAGAAGTACACTTTTTTGCCGTTCGGTGAGGGTCCGAGAATCTGCGTGGCAATGAGAATGGCTATGTTGCAAACGAAAGCTTATCTAGCCTTGATCATGAAGAATTACACTTTGGAGTTATCGTCTAAGACACCCAAGGAGCCGCTAAAGTTTATGCCAGGCAGTTTTCTTCTAAAATCTGTTAGTGATTTATGGGTTCATCTTAAGCCTCTTTAATTCTTTGTGTTAGAGAATATTGTAGAAAATAATGAATACATAATATTAAGCTATTGTGAAATATCGCAGATAAGTTTGGATAAATGGACATTTTTCTAAATGACAAAAATTACGAAATTATGTAAAATTATGAAAATTATTTTAATAGTTGATATGGCCAGTGTTATAACGCAACCTGAACTTTGAATTACTTTCACCTATTGCAGAAAAACGTGACATATTTAAGTATATATAACCAAATTTATATGCAAATAAACATATATTTACAATTACTAACCGTAACCTTGAAATAATACATATTAGAGTTAGTTGCGCAAGTTAAACACATATTATACACATAATATACATATTAAACACATATTGTACTTACGCATATGAACGTGACAGAATGTATGTGAGTATTTGATTGTATTTAAACTCTTATTTTTTATTTTTATCACTGCAGCTTTACACGCTTATCATTAATGTATCAATAGAACGGAAATGAAGTTAAATTGAAAAACAGAGATAAAATATGCTGAAATATAAATATTATTTATGTCAGTAAATACAGATCGTGCAATTTCAATTTTTGCCCTTATTCTTACTATTATTAACACATCTCTTGTTTATGTATGCAAAATTAAAACAATCTGCGGATGTCAGAGAGAAAGAGTAATGATATAATGGCTCTTGAGCTGAAAGATTTAACTTGCATACTTTCATATTATTGTAAGTAAGGAATAATGTTAGTCTAAAGTCACGAGAGTATTCGCCTCGACATCAGGAAATATCAACTAACCGTAACATAACATCAATGTTAGAATTTTCCACTCAATAATATAACTTTGACATAACACACGCGTTATTGCATTTACATTGTTGGGTGGGAAATTACGACATTTTGATATTATTACTTTTATTTTCGTGTTATTAATTAAAGAAGCCTCTATCCAACTTCACTTTCCTTCCTTTCAGTGAGATAACACGAACCTGCACTGGAACGATAATGGCTCTGTTGCAGATAAAAGCAGGTCTGGATATGCCTCCGAGAAAATACAGTCCGGTGCTACACCCCAAAATAGAAGTGACTTTAAAGATAGTGCCTACAACTCTGTTACCATCACAGAAAAGGGGTTTATGGGTTTTTATCCGACGAATTTAAGTGCGAAAATTATTTTCAATGCTTTCTAACGTGTTACAATAATTTACTCCGTTATCTGCCGAAGATAACAGATTATACAAATAACAGATAACATTAAATTGATATAGCCATTTTTGTTATCGCGCCAATTATTTATTTCCAAAGATTTTACAATTATAGCTATGTTCCTATAATATTCCAATAGTGTTTATTACGTATAATTTTGCGTTGTAAGATATCGGTCGTACTTTACGCAACAATAATTATCTGCGAAAGCAAGAGATCATTTATGCTGCTTATAACATGCATACGAGTGTTACTTTCGTAAAAATCAATTTCTAATAATACCTTAGTAATTTCTTATTTGTTCATAACATATATATCGTTGCAAATAAGAATAGCATATATATACATACTATATTTTCTTAAGTCAGTTATAAAAAATGGTAAATAAACAATTTGGATAAACATCGTACTGCTATATGTGAGATTGAAGCTATATTTTTTCATAAGTCAATTCTTTTCATCAGACTAAATCCTTCAGATTAAATCGAATTTGATCTATCACGAAATATATGAATACCTTCAAAAAACAGAGGTCATGAATATTAAAGATTTATTTGCGCATGACATTTCAACATGTCTAATACCAAATGATGTTTCTCATTAGGACATANTTTCAACATGTCTAATACCAAATGATGTTTCTCATTAGGACATATTGCGAATGTTTTTGAGTAGATAACGTAATGGTAATTTCATTCGTTATACAACAAGCAGTACCATATCAGCATGTAACCTTGATCATATGAATTGACTTTATCAGTTGCAAAACTCGACTAAAACACAGAAAAGAGGAGACAGAATTTATAACCATTGAACATCGGTTATTGCAGTAATATAACACAGAGAAATAGCAAGTAATATAACGTTAGCTGTATAAATGTTATGAAA